TGATAAACTTACATTGACCTCTTCTGAATCCCCTCTTGATTTTGGCATTGTCGAACGAATGCCCGAAAACAAATGGTACTAGGGATGAATTCATTTTTACTTACTTGTGCTAGTTGAGCCTCGATGACTTTCTTCTGCTTTTCTATTCTTGCACTTTCTTTCTCGCTTTCCATTTTTAACGATTCCATACCACTCTTCTGTTCGTTTGTTACCTAAAATGAAACGAAAAAATTTTGTGATTCATTGCATCTGAATTGACAGTAGCTTAGCAGGGCTAAGGAGGGGCATGAAAACGTGTTTAGAAAAGCGCTAGTATAATAAAATGTTCAACTGATTTTCTCTGTTAGTGTCCCATGAGATTCGCTACGCGCGCTTCATCACGTCTCTGAGCGTCAATGAATTCCCCAATTTCATGCTTTAGAAGAAATCTGTCATCGTACATGAATCGTTATATTTCTGCAAACTCATGTACTGGAAACCGATCAACCGCAAAAGTAAAATACAGAGATCAGTCACTAGCTTTGTGCAGCCCTTTGCTTCATTTTACCTTGTCTCTCCATGAAGATGATAAGGTAAAAAAAGTGGAAAGATAAAACGAGGGGTTACTAACATTTACGTTAGAAGAAATGTGTATATGCAATGCAAAGATTTGCTAGCGTCTGTGTTATTGTCCACATTGGTAATTCGTGTGTACCGAACACTGAAAATGACTAGCGGTTCCGTTCAAACCGGAAGTACCGCAATTTTACCTATACCTATGTCTCAGCACTGTCTCCCGTATGTTCCAATTGACGCTGTGATTCTGATATAGATTGAGGCTAAAAGTGCAATGCTGTAAAACAACAGATTGAGTGTCGGGATGGAGAAAACCCATAGTTTCAGTCCATAGGGGCATGGCCGATTACCACTCTAGACTGTGACATCGACACCGAAATTCAGACTCAACCGTTCGTTGTTTTGCTAATCTCAACCAAAAAATATTTTTGTACGCGAAAAGTAATGCTCGCCTGCAGGTTTACACACATGACTAAGACGAGGAGAGATTGAGGTGGTACTAATGAAACATTCTTGTGCATTGAACGACTGACCTTGGCGAACTGGCTGATCGAACTCTCTACGGATCTACCAATGATATTCTTCGCTTAATCTCTCAACCTTGAGAAGTGATAGAACAATAACATTTGACATTGCAACAGAAAATATCACGTTGTTGATCTGTCTGCATACAGTAGAAATATTTGAGAAGTTTGAACAGCAAAATCCTGCAAAACTTTTATTAACAGCTTGCTGAACGCCATCGCTGAATGATGCTAAAGACCACTTTGTAAATATAGTTCTTGACGTGCAGCTATGAACGCAATGCATTATCAGGAGTTGTAGACGAACAACTCCCACAGGGCACTAGAAATTTGATTAAAGTGTTTCGGGCCTTTGAAAGTTAACAGATTACCTTAGGTAGAAGGTAGTTGGTTTTAGTATACGTCAGAGTCCTTTGAGCCTATCGTACACGCAGAGCATTTTTGATTTGTGATGTCTGCTGAAATCGCAACTTTACAGCTTTTTCGCCAGAAATCACTGTTCATTGTCTTGTAGGAAGAACAAACCATCTCTAATGGCAGATCCGTATCTACTATGCTCTTCCATCTTGCGCACTAGTTTCCTGGTCACACCTAGCATGTTTCGACTTCTACAAGAGAAGCTCATGAGCTAGAGTAAATGGTTTATGCTCAACCGGTTTGCCAAACAGTGCCAACAGAGCTT